AAAATGGGAAAAACTGAAGAGGGGGAGAGTTTGAAGAGATTTTGATTTGCATATTTACAGGCAAACCCCTCACTTTCATTTTTGTTGTTATTTTATTCTTAAGTGAACCGCCGCCACATGAAAATTGAGCCTGGGCTGCGATGGGCTGGCATGGGGTGGGGCGTGGCACTCGAGCTGCGTCTTTGGCAACGTTTCAAATTTGATTTGATGGGCACGTGTGGCAGATTTCCACTTAAGTAAGTGCAGGCGTGGCGCACACAATCGAAACTTATTGGAAAAATGAAATAAATAAACAAATAAATTTTTTAATAAAAGAAGGCGGAGATATACTTGTATGAAATAATATATTTATTTAAATGCAACTGTGATTGATAAATCCAACTCATTTCTTTAGATAGAAGAAAATCAGATAATCAGCTTGCAAAAGTTGCCAATTATATGTTTATTTGCATTTTTTTCCCTTATAGTTTTTCCAGCGAGCACTCATCGGCTTTTAGGCGCATTCGGAATTCACATAAAATTATGTAAATCCCAAATCAGCTGCCATTCGTAGTGCAAAACAAAAACCCATTGCGCCTATGGCCCCCAAACCCGTGGCGAGTATATTGAAAATGTTAATGGTAATCGCGGGTCTTTGGAGCAGGTGGGGGCTGGCGCCATCTAGCGGTCGGCGGCCGCTGCTGTCAGTCAAACTTTAGCCGCGCGCAAATCCAATTGATTTCAACCAATTTCTCAAACTCCTCGCTATCAGAGGGCTACGTGCCCGGTCGGAAATAAAGAGAAGACGAAAAATAGCATAAAATCAATTGAAAAACTTTTTACCCAAGCATATCTCACGCCCCATACACCCCGCCCCGCGCCCTGCTCTATATACACACTCGAGATATCGCATGAGTGACAAAGAAATGGTTGGACAAAAAACAAAAAAAAAAACAAAAATTGTGGGCTAAATCCGATGGCAGCTTGCACGATTCCCATTGGCCAGGACCCAGCCGCACTGGAGCTGGGCGCCGAAATGTACATCCTCAACACATGGCCACATGGATTGTCAATGGAGTTGCGTAGCCAAATGCCAGCCGCTCTCTCTCTCTCTCTCTCTCTCTCGCGCGCTCTCTCTCTCCCCCGCTCTCTTTCAATATATAAGAAGGGACGCTGGAGGAGGCTCTATGTACGTATCGAACGAAGGATTCTCTGCAACAATAAGCGCAAATGTAACAAATAAAATGCAAAAGATGCGAAATAAAAAATGACATTCGGATACAAATCGAATAGAGTCGACAGTTTGGATACGATACGATAGGATAGCAAAAGGAAACACGGGACGAGAGAGGAGTCAGATGTGGAGAGGAAATAAAAACTCTGCCTTCATTGGGAATTGAATTGAATATTTAATGGCAGCCAACTGCTGTTGGGCTCCCAGGCAGCTTTGCGGGTTGGCGGCAGGCAAGGAGAGGTTGGCCTTCCTTGGTGGATGGGGTTACACACTGTGTGTATGTGTGTGTGTGTGTGGTTAGATGCTACCAAATGTGCGCTCCATTTGAATGGCTGACGCTTTGACAACTACGTTTAAGCTTGCTGCCTGCCGCCCTCTCCTCTACTTTTGCTTGTAAATATATTTTTATTGTATTTCCTTGCAGCTGAAGAGCAGCTCCGGGTTGGACAGCAGCCAATACCATGTGGCTTATATGCGAAAAAATGTGTGCTCGATCGAATATACAATTGGCATTTAAATGAGCAAAAATACTCGGTGGGGCTTATTGATATTCAATGTAGGGGGGATATTTCCTTGAGAGCTCTATAAGCTTTGCCAGCTTTCCTACTATATAAACTAGTTTTATGTGGCATGTAAAGTATATCATAATTATTTCTTATACTTCTAAATCATTTTCCCGATTCGCCTATAATCTTCTGTTGAGGTACAGAACATAGCCTATAAGCTTCAAAAATGATTCAAGAATCTATTCATCTCAAATTAAAATTTTTAAAATCGATTAGCAGAAGTTTTAGTTAAGGTAAAGAAGACGATCCATGAATCGTGTTCTTGATTCTCATTAAATCTTTTATTCAGATATAGAATATATACACCTACTTAATTATTGAAAAAAGCATTGGAAAGCTTCAAAAGTTATGCAAGAATCTTTTTTGATCCTCAATTCAAATTTTGTAAGCTTGGAAAGTTCTGTGAAGAAGATCCCTTAAGTTTCCTTAATTGAATGTTTTAAAAACCGTTAAAAAAACGTTATTATTCTTAACATTTTTGATGGTAATACATTTGGAGACCAACATTAGAGGAACAAATCACTTTTTCTTATCATGGGATTCGCACTCGAACTTTCGTAGTTCCTTAGATGACAAAGTGCACTAGCCCTAAATACTGAGCAAAGGATTGGAAACCAAGGCTAGATTATCTTAGGACCTTTATAGTAGAGAGCGTAAGAAGTTGGCTTGCTATCTTTTTTTTAAGTTATTAACTTGAACCTCAGGCCAGAGTTTCTTGGGCCCTATATAAGTAGTAGAATGTTTAAGTAGCTGGCTTTCTAACAAGCCTATTTAAATCGTTTGCTAATAACAATAACTAAATATTCATCTAAGTTGCACGCTCTTCGCACAGTATCCGATTGTGTTCAATTATTGCTGACCAACAGCCACCATTTAAGAGGCTAATAAAAAGCAGAGATTAGCTTTAATTTGCCAACATCCACTTTGATAGCCAAAAGCAATCTGAATCTTAGACTCCCGCTCACGGACATAATATGAAACGTCACCTAATAACAATTACCTTTCGCCTGGCTGCAATTTGTGTGGCACTTAACCGACCTCAACAGCTAATTGGGCCAAAATTTGCACTAAATGAGCAGCCAGCCCTTTCACCAACTGGCAGCTGGTCACACTCCAATCCTGCTGCTCCCTTCCCCTGCGCCTTTCAATCACTTGTTGGCCATTCTAATGCAAATTTTCTTCTTTCTATTTAACTTTTTTGTGGCAATTCGAACGTTTATCAATATTTCCTGGTTGCCTTGGAACAACAATTGGGCGGCGTTTGTTGATGTTCGGGTTGCAACCCACAAATCCCATCACTAAATCAACAGCTACAACCACAACAAGAACCCACCCCTGACGAGCCCAGAGACAGTTGGAAAATTGGCAAACGTTGGAAAAATGTTGAGCGGAAAAATTTTTGCAAGCCGAAAATCAGATTGTGTAAAGTCGAGTTAAGTATCCTTTATGGGGTTCGTTGAGCCTGTGACAGGATATGGGCAACATGTTTGCTTAATACTTGTTATACCACACACACACACACACAGACAGACGCGCACGCACACCCCCTCATTGTTGCTGATTACGTAATGGGCCGGCACTTGATGATTGTTCTGCGGCGGCATGAAATTGATGTTTTTGCCAATTTCGCAATTGAATTGCAATCAAAGCGATGACGTGAAATGGAACACCCCAAACCCTAAGGGTGGCTCCGGCCCGCTGCTCACTTGGGGTGAAAGTCGCTGCCAAAAATTATGAAAGTGAAAGCCAAACTAAATTAGGGTAAAGCCGATTTTTCGCAAGCTTCCACATTTCTTTTTTGGCACACGACAATGGCCGCAGACCGTCACAGGAGGGGGGTTGTAGTTGGGTGGCGGGGGTTGGCTGCTTCGAGGGGGCTGTAGCGTTTAGTTTATTGGCTGCTGGCGCGCATGGGGTGACGTTTTGTTTGTCTGTTTGTTGTTGTGTTTAGCGGGTGTACAAGTTGCGTGTCATAAATATTCCCAGCATAAATTTGCAAGCCTGGGCCCAAAACTGGACCAGGCGGAGAGTGGGTGTAAGGGGGGGCAGCATGCGGCGCCTGTCAACGCAATTGGGCTCAATGCCAGGGTATATGCCTAGGTTATAAAGGGAATTGTGTGCTTGTATCTCAGAGGTATTATTATCTGATTGTCATACAATCTGGCTGCCTGCTCCAAGTTGGGCGTGCTCAACGGAGAGGCAGAAGAGTGGGCAAAGCGGAAGCTATTATAAGTGTCATTTCTGTTGATGAGCAGCTACCTAACAGAGAGGTGCTTAGCTGGATTTTCGCATAAGGAACTCTGACTAAAATTTAGCATATTGGAAACAAGCAGTAATATTTGAAAATAACAGAGGTTAAACTTACTTAAAGCGACATAGATCTAGGTTAGTTGGTGCTTTGGGATCCAAGTGTGGCGCCTTGCATATAAATCGAACTCATAAGAATTAGACTTAAGGGAGCAAGAACAGTAGATGCCCTTTGTTATTGGAATAACAGGCTTTAGAAAGGATGTCTATCAGCACAACTTATTAGAAAAGGTTTCCTTGGGGTTTTTACCTTTGCTTGACAAAACTGAAGAGCCCAAGGCAATACAGGCACTGTAGAGGCTATCGAATATCGAGTCAATTTATTTTCTTCAAAATCAATAAATATCGATTAAGAGCTATTAAACTTCTTTTAAAGTTTGATAATTGGGCTAAGATCTACGCTCTTTAGTCGATATTTGCATAGCCATGCATATAAATGCGCGGATACCCCACATATTTTATTCTAGCACACGCTTAGCTCCGTGTTTCCCCCTCGATTCAACTGTAGCCACCGTCGCTCCACTCAAATTCATATTTGTACATATTTGTTTGGAAGATAAGCAAAAATATTACACGCTCCAGAACGTGACCAATGCAAATGCATATGAACTGAACTGAGCCAAAAGGAATGGGAAAGAAGTCAACTCAATTGAACTTTGTAACCCAACGTGTTGCTTCTGCAAGCGCCTGCCACAACGGCCCCATGCAGCACTTGCAGCTTGCAACATAGCCGCTGCTGCCTCATGTAGATCATCTGTGGCCGCAACAACAACTGCAACAATAATAAGTGCAGACAATGCCCAGGACTAAACATCGCGTGTGTATCGCATTCTGTGCATCAGCTGCCCGGCGCTCAGCTCAACCCGCCCCGTTCCCCACAACTCGTCCCCTAACCCACAAACTTATCGGTCACGTAGTAAAACAAACATTTTTATAAGAATACGACTACACACAGCCAAACTATATGGACAGCAGCTGCCTCTGCCTCTGTCCAGGCACTACAGGGGGAAAAACAGCTCATAATGGATGATAATCGTTTATTTCGCGAGCGCCAGCCTAGGTGCTTGGATCCAGAGAACGAGTGGAAGAACCTGGAAATTGACTGACTGACTTTTTGGCAATGCTTGGCAACATGACGAGGGATCCGTTGTAGCGCCACATGATCACCTTGTTGCTGTGGCTGTGGCTGTTGTCCCGATGGGTCTCGCCTGATCGTGTTGTGGGTTTCACGGGCGTGTGGGAAGCGCGTCAACAGCATCTTCCAATTGCCAGCCGCCACCTTCCGTTCTTCCATCTTCTACTTGGCACCACAATTGCCTGCAATTGCACTCCTGCCGTGCGCTGTGCCCAGTTCCTTTTGGGAAAAACTCAACTGAAATTTGATTTGTTTTTTATTGCCAGCGTGGATGAACATGTAGCGCTTCCCCCACCTCCATAACTGCGTGCTCGTGTATGGAAGTAATTCAATATGTAAATTGCAAAATAATCAAAAATTAGACACGCTGTTGTATGGGGCCAAGGAAAGGGTATATAAAAGAAATGGCAAGATGCTGCATGCAGCAATTGTTATGTGTATTACTCTCAGTGGTATGCAGCTTCGAGGGAGTGAAAGATCCAGCGAATTGAGTTCCAGTTTTCAGTGGCAGAGCTATCATTTGCTGGACATTTAAGCAAAGCCGGAGTTGGGAGAGTTAGGGAAATTGAGCTTGGAATTCCAGGGTACTCCAAGGAATTCCCAATGACCTGGTTCAAAGATCTGGCCAGCATTTGACCCATATATCCCACCCAATGCACGTCTTGAAGAGCCTTCAGAATGAACCTTTGAAGGATATCTGAGTTCTAAGTAGCCCCATTTGCTGCAGCCAGCGAGTGTTCAACAAGTCGTGCAACAAAACAGGCAGCAGCTACTCTAATTGCCACACGTTCCTGGGGCAGCCCGTCTCTGCCAGATCCCCTCGCCTATCCGTCTTTATATTATTAGGTGCTGTTTTGCCCGCCGACCCGTAGCCAATCTTCAAAATCAAATGCCAAAAATAATGCAATAAAAATATCTTGCAAAATATTTTGTACTACTTATGCAGAAGACAACGCAATTTTTATTGCCGGCCAACCCCTCGACAAGGACTTTGCGTTTCCTTTGCTTTGCCATTTTTTTCTACTTCATTTTTTTGTGCTTTTTCTTTAAAGTAAGCATTTCCGTTGTTATTTTTTTTTGTTGCGCTCAAAAGGCAATTGGCTCGCTGAGCTGCCGTCTTTCCGGCTGCTTAGTTTAATGGCCCTGCTGATATCTTAACCCCCCAGCTCCTGGTCTCTATGCTGCTGCCTGACCTGGGTCAACCTGTTAATAAGCCAACGAACCGAACCGGTCTGCAACTGCTTTAATTGATTTGCAGCCGCTGCCAGAAACAAAACGAAAACAACAATAAATTCGAGTTGCCTTTGGCCGGCCCGCTAACCCTTTGCTCAAGCCCTTTTTTTCGTTGAAAGGGGGTTCCGTTCGACACCCTTGTACACAGTTTTTATGTATTTACCCATTATGTTTGCCCAGCGATTGTTGTTGTTGTTGTTGTTGTCACAGAAACCGAAACTGACCTTTGCCGCCGAACCACCCGTTGCCCATTCATTTGTTCGTGCGGTCAGTCGGACGACGGTCGACGGTCGCTGGTCGCCGGTTCGTGGTTGTCGCCCTCGACAGACGCAGTCGTCTGTCTCATTCTCATACTCATTCCCATTTGCAGTCGTCATGGACATTGAGTGACCTTTGCTTGTCACCCGTTACCCCGCATCCAGCTCTCTCTCCCTCACCCCATCCTTTCAGTCGTTGCCTATTTTCAGTTTTACTTTAATCGCATTCGTGTTGTAGGTCAATTCCTGATTAAGTTGTAATTTGTAGCGGTAATTATTTCATAACTTCTTAATGGGTTCAAATTGTTAAAGGCCACGAGCGAGTTCCTTTAAGAGCGTTTGGGTAGGTTATCCTTGAGAGAATCCCCTTAAAAATGTCAGACCCCTAGCTTTAAGTGAGTCCATTTGCAACAAAAGACAGCAGCACGAGCGAATTCGAGCGAGTTCGTTTGAATGGAATTTCCTTTATAGAGTCTAGTTGGGAACCACGCTTAGTGCCCACCACGCTTACGCACTTTTAGCTAGACACATTCCAGAATAATTCTAGACGCGATCTTCAACCGACGCGCCCAATTTACAATCTTACAAGGTCAATTTTTGTAGCATTGCGAATAAAATGTAGCGCAAAGCGTGGCCCCAAAGCATGCATGCAAAAATGCATCATTTAAATGCAAAGCAATTGAGAAAGATGGGAAGGGGGGAGTGGTGCGAAGAGGAGTAGAGGGGTTAACGGGTGACGTTGCCCCAGTCGCATGTCTGCCGCATGCAACTACAATTTGCTCGAAACGTGCAGCGGCCGTCTGTAAAGCGATTACAGCGTATAATGTTGCCTGATCTAAATACCTCGACCTCAAGACAGCGAGAGAGAGATAAGAAGAGAGAGAGAGCGAGAGAGAGAGGGAGAGAGGAAGAGTCTTTTGTATCTGACGCCAACTGGCAACACATGCCAGACAACTGGCAAAAGGCCAGATCATCGGGTTCAGGGTGCGAGTCTCAGCTAAATGTGTGCCATATGCCTGTGTGTAGCTGAATCTGAGTTTGTATCTTCATCTGTATCTGTATCTTTGTGTGCATCTGTATCTTCATCTGTATCTGTATCTTTGTGTGCATCTGTATTTTCATTTGTTTTTGCATCTGTGGCTGTGGCACTCGCTGCAGCTCAGCGCAATTGCACTTGATTATGCTGATGAACAGGGGTTTAATGGCTCTGCTCGCAAATTTTTAATAACTCGTGAAAACACACGAAACGTGACAAAAGTGGAATTCAGTGCAAGCTGCGAGAACGGAATATTCGTGGAATATAAAGAAATGAGAATGAAGCAGGCAGAAAATGTGCTCCAGCAAAAGTATACAAGCTTAAGCACAGGTATAGGGTAGGGATAACAAAATATCCATTTCTGATTGAGCCCGTTTTTTGCCATTAAAATCGTTGTGCACATTACTTAAAATAAATTTTGATCCTTGGTCTGTCTCAACAGCAAATTAAAATAAATTCTAGCATCGGTATGTTGGCTTTTCTCTGAGTGTAAATTCCCCATAGACATAACAAATCTCAGCTTAGTTTCTAACAGAGCGTTGAACATGTTGCGAGTATCTCATTTACATGCTTTGCTGCAACGCACGTTCCACCTAAACCCACTACACCCACAGCCACACCCACACCCACCGCAGACCCACCCACAACAACGACAACAATAACAACAACAAAAATAACAAGATAAATGACAGCAATTGACTTCATTAGCAGCAAATGTCAAATGTTCAATGCCTATGTGAACCTTGTGTTGTGTGTATTTATAACAACAAATAAAACACGGCCAAGAGTCCGCTTAAACAGCCCCCGCAGCATCCCCCCCCCTACTCAGCAACCCCTCGCAACATTGCCAAAATGAGAAAAAAGAAAATCCGTATAGCGCAATTTCTGCTTGTGGGTTTTTCTTTTTGGTGGGGCAAACGAGGAAAATTTGCATACGCATTTTGCCTGCATCGTTTGGCAGTCTGTCGGGGAGGGGGTGATTGGGTCGGGGGCGGGGGCTGCCAAAGTGGCCGCAGTGACTCCATTACACGACTGGGACACACACACACACACACAATGAAACCATCAAAATCCAATGAAATAAAATAAAATTCCAATAAAAACATTTTGGCAAAAGGCGAAATGCGGGCGCGCCCAGAGGGCTGAGGCCTGACGGCGAGCGACGGTTGCGAACGGAGTCTTTCTACGGTGTTGACACGCGGTGAAAGTGTGCGAATGTGTGTGTGTTAGTGTGTGTGAGTGTGCAACCAACCAAAAGCTGTGCACACACCCGGCACCCAACACTCCGCCCGCCCAACGAACTGTCCCTTTTTGGCAGACGTGTGCTTGAGATTTGCAAATTTTTTGCAATGTCGTGGAAAACCCACTGGAAAAACAGCTTTTCTTTGCGTTTGGTGTGTGCTTTGGACCTTGTTAGTGGTTTCTGCCAGGCGAATTGCTAAACTGCTAAACTGTCAAATGCGTGAAATGTCAACATGTCACTTGCTCAGCTAAAGAACTCAACAAAGCAACCAGCTCGAGTTGGGGTTAGATGGGAGGAGGGAGATGTGGGAAGGAGCTCGACTTTTGATTGGTGCATTGCCCGGAAGAAAGAAGAATTAATCCTTTAGGTGTGAGTTATTGAGATGTTGGGAAGAATTGATATGTTCGTGGGAATAAATGCTTGGATTGGAATTGGATTAGTAACTACAATAATAACATACATTTTAAGATATAACCCTCTGTATTTGAAAGGAAATCCCAAGTCCTGTAACTAGAGTTTATCTTATGGATTATGTGATGTGTGTGATGTTATGTGATGTGGTTTATTGCATCTTCTTCTTTGAAGGCCACGGCTCTCACTTTTTCATATACCAAGAATCAACACGATTCACAGTTTAAATATAGACAGTTTAATTAATCATGGAAATTGGGTTAACGAACTGAACTTGAAAGTGAGCTGTCAGCAAGAAGGAAACTTGAGGAACACCGCATATGAAATAGAATTAATCCATTTGCTACGCCTTCCCGTGACAATTAACTGGCTACAATTATCTAGAGCCGAAGATCGCGTCAAGTGCTGTGTGACAGCATCCGCCTTGCTTGAATGGAAATAAATCCCATTGCGTTCATATTGTGTTCTAGTTTGGCATTCCCTAAGCCGAAAACTCGTTTCTGTAAGCCGCAACGCACCTACGCATTTGCTGGCCTGGCCTATAAAAGCGTCCAGTTGATTGGCTAAAGGCATCAGTCGCTGACAAACCAACAAACCAAAACAATCAACATGCAAGTAAGTTAACTCTTGGCAATTGCTCCAGATGTTTGCCTTTAATTTGATTTAAATGCGACTTCTTTTGCTGCAGCTCCTCATCTGCTTGGCTCTCTGTGTGGCTGTCGCTCAGGCAGGCTACCTGGCTGCTCCAGTTGCCACCTACGCTGCCGCTCCAGTGACTACATATGCTGCTGCAGCTCCTTTGGCCAGCTATGCCCGGACCTACTCGGCTGTGCCCGCCGCCTACTCAGCCTCTGTATATGGAGCTCCGGCATATGCCGCACCCTATGCAGCCCCATATGCTGCCACCACCTACGCTGCATCCCCGTATGCTGCCACCACCTATGCTGCCTCCCCGTACGCTGCCACCACTTATGCTGCCTCGCCCTATGGCGCACCCATCTCTACCTATGCTGCTCCAGCTGTCATCAGCCCCTTCCTGAAGAAGAAGTAAATGGGCAACTCACTAAACGATCCTCAATCCACTGTTTCCATTTTGCATAATTGATCATTTAATAAACTTTTTATACTTAAATTTATAGAAAATATATTTTTCTTAATTCAATTTGGGTAAACTTGACCAACAATTAAAAAATATGCCTCTCTCATGGCAATTGTCTCCCTATTTTTTGAAAAACTCATAAAATTCTAAACATAACATACAGTGACAGCTCCATAAACTACCTACATAATTTTAATTCAAGCGAACTTCTAACAAAACAGCAAACTCGTACCGCGTTTGTCCACTCGAGAGAGCTTTTACTGTGCTCAGTCCTCGGTCTTGGAGTTCCACAGCGCGTGGGCGTCAAATGGCCAATCACACGGATTAATTGCCTGGCGATAAGAAATGTTTTGGAAACTTAACTGCAGCAGCTCCCAGCTCCCAGCTCCTAGCTCTGGAGTGTGGCCTCCTCTGCGAGCTGGCGAACGCGCGTGCTCAAATAAATCATTTCCAAGACACGGCGCAGGCAGCCAGAGGGTGGACTCGCTTGGCCCAATCCATGGCGATCGCATTTCAAGTGCAAAAGTGCCGCAAGTGGCAAAAACAAAAGGTGACTGCCACAACAATTGTGGGTGTAACAAATTCGCCGTCAAATCGCGAACAAATCGCAAAATAAAAAGCGAACACACAGCACCAGAGCGAGAGCCAGAACCCGAACAGAATCCCAGCTCAGCGATCGTATGTGGAGTGCGGGGCAGAATTGCTTCTCACACAGCCAAATGGGTGCCTAAGATGTGCCAAAGTGAAAGCCACAACACTTGAAGCGTAGCGGGCGGGCAAGGGTTGCCAGGGTTTACAATTTAGACACCGGAAAACAATGAAATTGACAGCGCTTGAGCTTTGGGCGATCATCTGCTCAGCCATTTAGTGGATATTTGTTGGGAACTCTTTGCGGCGCTGTCTTATTATCAATCTTGAAGTGGGCAGTGTCAGGACAGCAGTGTTGCCAGGGTGTCCAAAGATACCAATGCTTGAGAAAAGTATAATAGAAGGGTGACTTAGCTAGAAGGTATAGATAGATAAAATAGATCAAATAATGTGATTTGCCAACCCGTTTACCACGCATTTTCCACCTGCACGTGTGGAATTTATCGATATAATGTTTAGTAGTTATCTTACATCAGAGAAAGGTAACTACTATGACTTCTAAAGTGAAAGGGGAGAAAGACATCCTCAAATAATGTAATTTATTAATCCATTTTTCACGAATTTTCCACCTAGCCTTATGCAAGTTCTTACGGTTTGGGACGTGCGTATTTCATCATTCTCAATATATGCAGTTATCTCAAATGAATCATTGCCCAATTTTTTTTTTCTAACTACCCAGTTCAAAATCTTAAACCTTATGACCTATTTCCTTCATTTAAATACTCATCCATTTGGCCAATCTGGCAACCCTGCCCGGCTCACTCAACATATTCAGGAAGCATAGCTAACCGAGGCAGGCACAAGAATCACTTGCAAAGTGTTGCCCAAAAATGCCGCACGAACACCGTTCAATTGCATTTAAGAAGCCAAATGACCTACGGCGAACCCCTCCCCCCCTCCCCCCTCTTAGCCCATACTGAGTGTAAAGGGGAGCCACTTATTCACAACTCAATGCCTGTTTAGCACAGACAGACAGTTGGGGCCAAGTCCGAACGCATGGCCTCGTCTAACAAGCCTTTCCGCAACTGCTGCCAACAATACTTGCACCCGCTGCCCCTCCCTCTTTCCATGTGCTTATAACGCATACAAATATTATATTTAAGCCCAGACGAGAGTCTCATTTCGTGCCAGGCATCGATTCCTGCACATCGATACTATCGCAGTGCCGAACGCCGAACGGCAACTGCGCACGCGCAGCGCCTGCACTTGAGAGCTCTGGATGTGGCTGGGCATTGGGATTGGGATGTGGAATTACTTGGTACTTGGCTTAAATTACAGGCTTTGGATTTTCGTAGCTACAGCTGCGTAGTTATGACCATGTTTGTCTATTGTCTGTTTAACGTTTGGGCTTTTTTGTTTTGTTTTTTCGGTAACTATTTTCCTTGTAAGTGTTTTGGCAAATTCGTTAAATTGCACGTGAGATCCTTTGATAAGTGGCATTGGCTTCATGTGATCTAATGTTGACGGCTGAATCGGCAAAATTATTTATAAGATTTTTTTAAAAGAGTTGAAAGGAGCTCCAAAAGGAATAGGACGAAAAAATAAATAAATAATATGTTTTTTTTTTTGGCATGATAACCATTTTATTTAAAATCTGTCTTGCATTGACAATTATTAAATTTTATGAAGAGTACTTGACTGGGTGTGTTTCATTTGTAGTGATTTCTCATTGTAAATAATATGAGTATGCATTTTTTTAAATCTTTCTTTGTACAACTCTTCTGCTTCTTGTTTAATTAAAGGCAGCTGCTCCTCAGAATGGCTGAAGCATTTCTGCGTCTTGTTTAGACTAGCCAAGAACATAAATAATTCCTACTTATTGACACTACAAGAAACTTACTTAAAAGACAACCCATTCTCACACTCTCAAAGTAAACATTTCCACCCGTTTATAAGCCCCAGCCCCATTTATCCAGCTGCCTTTCTCTTGCAATATTTACATGCAATAAAAAATTAACATTAAGAGAGCCTGTAAATGGAAAAAAGTGCGTGGCGTAGATGAAGATGAATAGCCGGCAGAGGCACAGTGGGACAAGCACATAGTGCGAGCAGTCAAAAACTTATTTACCCCCAGCTGATGGTTGGAATAATAAAAAGTGAAAACAAAGAAGAAAAATCGGGCAGAGGTAGACATAAAGGTAGCAGTAAAAAAAGGAATTGAAAAATCCTTCACCTTCGTTAATACAAATGACGCCCCGAGAGACCAGAGACCAGGATCAAGGAAGAGACCCAACTAAACAACAGTCTGCACACGCACACGCACACGCACACGCACACAACAACAATGGATAAGAAACGTCCCGGATATGTTCCAGCGGAAGCTGAGAAAGTAGCAAGAAAAAGACGGCTGAAAAAAAAAGAAATCATTTCCATGTGAGTGGGGGACAATGCGAGGAGGGATGATTATTAAATGGGTGGCATGTTTAACTATAAAACGCACGAGACACGGATGAGGAGAGCTGCGGACAAGGGTGGGTGCCAATGAAGGACAGCGCACAGGATTTGCATGAAACCCCGCGTCTGTGGCATGGGCTGCCAGACAGGGGGCCAACTGAATGGACCCAAAGTAGGGCTGGGCACGTGGTTGCTTTTTGGACAGGCTATTGGTGTGACAAGCAGCTCAGCTGAGGGCTGGAGCGGAGCAGGGAGGGGCACTTCCTACGTAAGTGCGGCACTTGAAACCGCCTTAAAGCGTGCTCTGTGGATGGCCAACAGCAGGCCAGGGCGGGCAAGAAGCAGCAGGCACTGAATTATGCAAAAGATTTACGCGCTCTGAAAAACTTTTTTTCTTTTCTGTGGGCGTTCGCCGTCGTCTTGGCCATAGCCGTCACATTGTATAAACTTTCGAGCCGGACGCCAAACGCATCTGACAGTCATACACTGAAGTTATCCAGAGAAAGGGAGAGAGAGGGTGTGTGTGTGTGTGTAATATTTAGCCCACTGTGCGACAGTTGGCATAGGCGAAGGCTGAGCTGTTGTCAGAAACAAAACAAGCAAAATTTGTTGCAGAAGCCAACAAAGCTCACAGGATTACACAGAAAAGTGCTCAGCAGGCCCAATGGCCGAGTGTGCCGGGACATTTGGGCAATTTATTTCAGTAAAAGAGAGGCAGTTTATCATTTTTTCTGAGAAGCTCGTAGAAAGTATTAACAGAAACTTTATAAAACATGAATTCTCTTTGTTTTACTGCAAAAGCACTGACAGTTGTCAATAGTCGGAATATAGAAGGGTAAAAATCTGTTCAGTTCCTTCTTGAAATGATATATGTGCTAACTTAACTAAACCCTGCATGTCAGCTATCAAGGAGTTTCAGCTCTAGCATCTTCACCTAAAGCTGTCTTAAAGCTTAAAAAATAACTTTGTAAAACGCTCTTTTAAAAGCTCCCTTAAAGCTCTTCTAAAGTATGTTTTACCTGAAAGCTCTATTAAAGCTCGACTTTAAGCTTGTACAAAATCACATTGGTTGAAATAATTATGCTGTACGGTCTCAAAAGCTCTTTGAAAGCGTAAAATAAAAATTAACTGACTTTGCTTTAAGCAATATTGAGCTATATGATGAAAGCTTCAAGCAATCTACAAACTTAAAGTAATCTTTGGCCAGTGGCATACAGTTTTCCCACATCCTCTGGCAAAGTTCTTCACGAAGTGCAGTAATTTACTAAAACAAATTGTTGTCTAGTTTTCCTAAAAGCTATTTAGCCAACGTTTTCCCATATCAATAATCGCTCAGTTTGCGGGATCATCAGAAGAGGAAGAAGCAGCGCCATAATCACTCAATTGCAAGGCAATATGGCGCCTAGCGGTCAAATGGCAATAAAAATCAATATTGAATCCGATGAGAGAATCTCCGATCCCAGATTCGTGAACTCAAATACGTAGCAAATAAATCGCATGCGATAGAAATAAGCATTGAATTCTATTAAAAGGCTGCTGCCAGGGCCAAGTGAATATGCAAAGAGTAAAAATGGAAAAGAAACCGCTTTGATCCAAGCCGCAGCAGTTGAAGAGTCCCTGGAACCTGGAAGACGGACACAGGACAGGAAGGCAGGTAGAAACCGCAGGCAACTGAGCCATCGGTAGGGGCAAAAATCGTTGAAATATTTCAATTAACTTAAAGTGCGCCGCCGCGCAGAAGGACGTGAATGAGCCCAAGATGGGAGTTTGGATTTGGAGTTGGAGTTGGGAATCTGCAGGCTGGCGACTTGCAGCCAGTTGGCGAGTTGGCGACTTGCCGGCTCTTGCGTCGGACAATAAACAATGTTTTGACAAATCGCTGAAAATTGAGTGCGCAAAATTATTATTTTCAATTTAAAAATCAAAAGCGGAGAACAGAGAACCACATCCAGAACCAGAGCCTCGGTCGTGTGTACAATATATGGGTATTAAATTTGCCGCCTTGGTGCCGTGCCTCACGGGTTGCTAATGATTGCA